AATAGACACACATCTTGAACCATATTGCACTGATCTCTGCCATCTGCAGAGTTTATTCAGCTTCATGTTTTCAATAAAATTTGAACAATGTGAAATGGTTACTCCAAACAAAAAAATGTGTTTTGTTTAGAGAAACCCTTGCTGTGCTGGTGCCCCACGGTCAAAGTTAAGAAAAATAATGCATAAACTTACCTCAACTCCAGCCACGGGGTAAAGTTCTCCCCTCAGCCCAATCCTGCTCTGTTGATGTCATTCTCCCTAGATATAGTGGGAGGCAGAGGCGTAACAAGAAACCATGGGGCCCCGGTGAGAAAATTGCCCTGGGGCTCCCCATAAATCTACCGCACACCCCATACGTCCCCACCCCCTCATATGTCCCTGCCCCCACACATCCCCGCCCCCCACACATGCAGACAAACAGATACACATGCAGACACACACACATACATGTAGACACACACATACATACAGACACACACATACATACATATATACACACACACACACACACACACATACACAGACCCATACAAACAGACATACATACATACATACAGACAGACATAGATACACACACACAGACATGTAGAGACACACACAGTGACGGATCCGGACACAATACCCACTACAGTTCAGTGTAGTGGTTATGGTGTCAATAGTGCCGGGACCCCCTCCCAGAGTAAGTAGTCAAACCATTTAATAACAGTTTGACAACTTACCTGAGGTCTGTTGGGAAATGGGGCTGTAGTAGGGCATAGGAGCAGTGGTGTGTGTGAGTGGTGCAATGTGTAAGGGGTGCAGTGTGTGTGTGAGGGGGACAGTGTGTGTGTGTGTGAAGGTTGCAGTGTGTGAGTGGGGGCGGCAGTATATGTCAGGATTGCAGTGTGTGTGTTAGGGGGGCAATGTATGTGTGGGTCAGTATTTGTGTGTGATATTTGCAGTGTGTATGTGTGTGAGGATTGCAGTGTATGTGTGAGTGTGGGGCAATATGTGTGTATGGAGGGGCAGTGTATGGGGGGCAGTGTGTGTATGGGGGTGTAGTGTGTGTGTATGTGGGGCAGTGTATGGGGGGCAGGTATGTGTATGGGAGGCAGTGTGTGTATATGGGGGCAGTGTGTGTGTATGTGGGGCAGTGTGTGTATATGTGGGGGGCAGTGTGTGTGTATAGGGGGCAGTGTGTGTGTATGGAGGGGCAGTGTGTGTGTATGGGTGGGGCAGTGTGTGTGTGTGTATGGGGGCAGTATATGTGTAAGGGGGCAGTGTGTGTGTATGGGGGGCAGTGTGTGTGCGTGTGTGTGTGGGGGGGGGCAGTGTGTGTGCGTGTGTGTGGGGGGAGCAATGTGTGTGTGATTATAAAAAGCCCCCCTACCCTTCTTATCACACACATTGCCCCCCCACATAAACTGCCCCATACATACATACATATTAATGAATTTTTTTTAAAAAACAACACATATTATATTAAAATATTAAAAGCCCCCCCCACCCTTCTTTATTTAAATGTAATTAAAATATATATTCTCTATGTCCCCACTCCCTTCTTGCATTTACTGGGAGGAGGGGGGACATATTTCGATACCTGGTGGTCCGGTGGGGATTCCCTGGTAGTCCCAGTGGTAAAGTGAAATCTAGCCCGCGCTCCAGGGCTAGAGTTCACTCTCGTGAGATTTGGAGCATTGCCGTGGTAACCACGGTAATGCTCCATGCGCGCAAGAGGAGGACACGGAGGAGCTGCAGGTAAGAGCTCCCGGGTCCTCTCTCACTCCCTCCCCCCGCCGGCTGTCAGCAATGTGCACATTGCAACCCTGCATTAGCCGGCAGGGGAGAATCTTGGGGGGGCAATTGCCCCGTTGCCTTCCCTGGATCCGCCACTGGACACACACACATACAGACATACAAACACACAGACATACACACACATACACTCACAGACACACACTCTCAGACACACAGGTGGGAGGGATACAGGATGAGCACAGGTTGAAGGTAGGACATTGGCAACAGGATGTGCGTCACCAGCATGCCCAATTTTCACAGAATTCACATTAGCCAATAAAGATCTTTTGTTCTGAGCTGGCTAATAATACTTCAATTATGCTGCCTGAGGTGAAGTTACATATCCAGTAGAGATGTTGAACTCTGTATATTCCATGTCCCATAACATAATGCTGCACACACTGACTCCAGGCACCATGAGCACTTCAAATCTCTGAAGTGGCCATGATGCTTGAAGTAACAGTTTAAACAAATCATGTATGTAGATCTCAAGCAGTCACAGGCTACCTCCATTAATTGACAAATAATGCAAGGATTCTTGTTGAGGCATGTTGCAAAATCTAGGCCAAAACAGCCAAACCAGGAATAAGTACATAATAAACAATGTAAAAGTGTATAAGGCTCTTACAAAATAGCGCCAAAAAGAAAAGAAAAAATATTTCATCAAAAAAACAAAATGCAACTTCAATCCCTCAATTTTCATCAATACATCAAAACAAACAGCAGTGAAAAGCACACATTGTAAAAATATACACTGATCAGCCACAACAATAAAACCAGTGACAGGTGAAGTGAATAACATTGATTATATCATTACAATGGTGCCTGTCAAGGGGTCGGATATATTAGTCAGGAAATGAACAGTCAATTCTTGAATTTCATGTGTTGGAAGAAGGACAAGTAAAATGATGACTTTGACAAGGGCCACATAGTGATGGCTAAAACATATCTAAGAGTGCAAGTCTTGTGAGGTGTTCCCGATATACGGTGGTAAGTACCTACCAAAAGTGTTGCAAGGTAGGACAACTGGTGTACCGACATCAGGGTCCTGAGCACCCAAGGCTCATTGATGCACGTTGGGTGTGAAAGCTAACCCGTCTGATCAAATTACACAAAATATCTATTATAACTCAAATTGCTGAGAAACGTAATGCTAGCCATGATAGAAAGCTGACAGAACACATTCAATTGCAGACCAGTTAGGGTGCCCATGATATCTCCCTGTCCATTGCTGAAAGTACCTTCAATGGTAGATGTGAGCTTCAGAACCATGGAGCAGTGGAAGAAGGTTGCTTGATGCAAAGCAGTTTAAAGACTGTCTTTAAATCATATCTATACCAGATCCATCTGCTTATCAATTGTTTTGTGTTAAATAGGTTTTCTGTTTTGTTTAGTTTTTTCCATAAGTGAAACATTATAGGCACTACAACTCTATTTATTTTGCTATGCGCAGAAGTTTATATACAGAAAAAACATGGACTATAGAAAAAACATTTACCTAGAAATGGACTATCTAACACACATATTTTGTCATTCATCATGTAGGATAGAATTTAAAGAATTATACAAATAAATATGTTTGTAAGACTGCTTTGTGGGCAAATCCGTCTCATAAACACTAGCACTAAAAATCACATCACTAAAGGTTGCATTGCAATATATCCATTTCATTTTCAAAAATGTGCTGCCATAGATGGCTATATTTTGCCCAAAGTTGGTTTTACCTGAAGAAATTTCAATGAATTTGCCTAGAGTTAAATTTAATTAACGAGTACATTTTGATTTCTTTATCTATTTATTTAAGAAACACATTTCTTAGTTTGAATGAAATATTAAAGTAGCAGGTGTTCTAGACTGTTTTGCATTTGCACAATAGATGCAGTCTATCAAAATGCACTGTAATATTTGATTTACATTCAATTTAAATATTTAACTGAATAATAGATTAATATATTATGCAGTATTAACATTTTAATGCCAGAGGGGACCTATGTCTATTAGATGTTACCAAGGTTTCTTTTTACTTTTTTTTTTTGTTTTCCTGAGAAATTACCATGTATTCAATAACTAATTAAACAAATAGACACCCTGTATTCTTTTTTAGCAGAAATACCCAACATCTGACTCTTCAGCTACCAATGATTACAACTGCAGGAATCATAGGTAATTGAAAACACAATGGCAAAACTTGGGCGAAAACTGCTGACATGAAACATTTCTCCAACTGAGCTGTCAATGTAACTCGGTGATATTGGCCAATTCAGTTTTTGATTCATTTCAATCAGGGTGGATTTGATTTACATCAAGTCAACATAAATCATGATTTAAAAGATTTAAATCACTAGTCAGCCTTTTTAAATCATCAATTTTAAGCGTAAAGACTCACTCTTGCTGGTTCGCATGACTTTAATACTTGCAAGTTGATTTAGAATAATACCTTTCCAGAGTTACCAGTTGTTAAAAAAGCACATCTCTGCAGACTCACATTCAATTAACTTAAATTAATGGAATTTATTTACCAAAACTGTAAATATTTCCTGACTATACATCCTCATGCTATATGACTAGTCCCTATATAATCCGATTTGACTACAATGTATTTTAAATATAAAACTGTTTATATATTTTTTATTATTATTTTAATTACTAATTGTGCATCCTATCATATGTATTTGGTCCAAGTTTTATCTAAAATCAGTCTGGATCCCATACTTTAAATGTTAAAAACATTGATTTTAAAGCTGACACCAAATGTATCTGACCAGCTAGAGTTGAAACGGTCAGATTTTAACAGATTTGCCTTTAGTAAATATTAGAATTGCAAATCCAGTCGAAGTCCAGTTATATGAACCAAATTTTGTCCATACAAATAAAATTCAGTGAATAACCCAGAAGGTATTCCACATGCTGATATTTTATAGTGAGATCACAAGGTAGGTGTATAAACCGATCAGCCACAACATTAACATTAAACAGCTCTGATGGATCAAGGTATGGATTACACAAGACTTCTGAATGTGTCCTGTAGTATCTGGCATCAAAACATTAGCAGTCCTGCAAAGTGCTGTGTGGGGCCTCCATGGATCAGGTGTTTTTTGTTTTTTTGTGTGCAGCACATCCTGCAAATGCTCAATTGGATTGGGATATGGGGAATTTAGAGGCCATGGCAAAATCTTGAACTCTCTGCCATGTTCCTCCTACCATTCCTGAACATTTTTTTTACAGTACAGCAGAGTGAACTATTCCTGCTAAAAGTGGCCACTGCTGTCAGGGAACATCTTTGCCATGAAGGGGAGTACATGGTCTGCAACAATCTCTAGGTAGCAGAGACAGAGTATAACACTGTCTCTGCTGGCCTGCCAACTCTTTCCAGATAAACCGCACACATGCACCCAGCCATCCACATGATCCAAAAGGAAACGTGATTCAGCAGATCAGCCCATCCACCCAAAGACCACTTTGTGGTGTCTGATTAAGGCCCATGTTTTGCAAACATGTAGTCAGATTTTCAAGTTTGGTACAATTAACAATTTTATGCCATGATATATGATCTGGAGAATTAACCAAATTGGAAGATATTTCCAATCTGGCTATTTCACCCTGAAATGTGGCAATTTCTGAGACAACAAAAAGTAATTTTCGAGCTCCATCACTTAAGTCTGAACATGGTCACGGTGTCTAGTCATCCTTTTCTGTGGGGAATGCAGCCCTTCTGTAAAGGAAATAACCAGTGAGCCAACAAATAGTCAGTATGTACAAGATGCTAAGAAATGCTCCAAGAGGTCTAAACACGGCTCCTTCATTGAATCTGCCAAAGATTCCATTAGGACTATACATATATATCTACATCGATCCACTTCTGAAAGTTGTATATAGATAGAGACTGAGTCAAACGGCAATATAGAAGGATAGTTATCCCTCCACCATTTCAAATCACGCAAAGAAATCTCTGATTTATTATTCGAGAGTTTAATGTTTATTGTTGTTGAAAGGTATGATAGTGATAATTATTTCAAGTCCTATACAATTTCGGAATATAGAAAGAATAAAAAATATTCAGTACAGAAGGACTAGAGACAATGACAGAGAGACAATATTTGCTAAGATGATCTACCCCATCTGCCTAAGATACTTAGGTAATAAAATACTAAAAACTGAAATATGGTAATATAGTGCAAAATGCTGCAGGGGGAGGTTTGAGCATTTGTGGCTTGAGATAAAAATAGTGCTTGTTGATTTCTTTATAGCAAAAAAACAAAAAACTTTCCTATGCAAAAACTGCATAAACATGATCTAGATTCATCATTTGTAAATATACAATTAAACTGAGAAGCACAAAGCACTATGCAAATGAAGACATGAGCCATTCAAATAAATCTCCTAGATGTAACGAGACAAGACCACATCAAATCCCTTTAGCTAATATCCCAGATGACATGAAAGTAGGCTAATAACCATATGGAATTGAGAAAAGCAGGATACAGCTGTGTGATTTTTTTATTTTTTTTTATATATACAACACTTTTGAAGATGCCATGGATTGCAAATAAAAACACAAATATTACTGAAATTTTCCAAGCCACACACATTTTAGAAACAATGATTAATTTCCATTGATGTTAGCTGCTTTAATGGGCCTATCGCATGAGCTGCTATCTCTGTAATATAATAATACAAAAGCAATACATATTAGAGACAAACTATATGATTGGCACAGACAAAAAGCTGGGGTTTTTAATACCTTACAAGTACGACCATATTGATTTCTCTTACTTGTAGTTATTCACTCCACTAATCTAAACTAACACCATGGCAAAATAAATTGCAATCTAATTGTGTAGATAGGATTAACACAAAAACAATCAGTCCAGAGACAAAAAAATATATGCATATAGTCAGGGCTGGCCCAAGACATTGTGCTGCCTGGGTCCAGGGATAAACGGCTGCTGGGGATAAATTGTGTGTCTGTGTGTGTACTGGGGATGAAGTGTGTGTCTGTGTGCTGGGGATGATATGTGTCTGTGTGTTTGCTGTGGATGAAGTGTGTGTCTGTGTGTGTGCAGGGGATGTAGTATGTGTCTGTGTGTGTGCTGGGGATGTAGTATATGTCTCTGTGTGTTGGGGATGTAGTGTGTGCCTGTGTGTGTGCTGGGGATGTAGTGTGTGCCTGTGTGTGCTCTGCAGCCAATACACTTACCTATACTCTGTGTCTGTGTATATACATGTGTGTCAGTGTTTGTATCGGTGTGTCTGTATATGTGTCAGTGATTGTTTCTGTTTGTCTATGTATCTGCATGTGTGGCAGTGTTTATATCTGTGTCTGTATATCTGTGTGTCTGTATATATGCATGTGTATTAGTGAGTCTTCAACTGTATGTGTGTCTGTTCATCTGCATTTGTGTCAGTACATGTATCAAACATTGACACACATGCAGATATTGACATACATACAGATGTACACGCACATTGAAAAGCCTACAGATACACAGACATATAGACATACATACAGACACACATACAGACATTGACACATACAGATACACATACTACACACACGCAGATGCACACATTACACACATGCAGATGCACACAATACACACTTATAGATACACAAACTACACAAAGAGACACACACAGGCAGATACACACACTTCACACACAGACAGATACACACACTACGCATACACACACATTACACACACACAGAAACACACACTAGGCACAGATACACACACTACACATACAAGATTCACACACAATTGCACACACTGCACACATTACACACATACAAACTATTACACATATACACACATACACACACAGAGATACACACACACAATGCACACACTGCACGCATACACATACACAGAGAAAAAAACACACTACACACATACACAGACACACACACTACAAATATACAGATACACAAACTACACACACTACACACATATTGACACACACTACACACAGATACACACACAGACAGATAAACACACTACACACACAGATACACACACTACAGATACACAGATACACACATACAAACAAATACACACACTACACACAGATACATACATACACACATACAAACACACAGATACACACACTATGCACACATTACACACATACAAGCACACAGATACACACATACACAAAACACACACACTGCACACATACACAAATACACAGATACACACTACACACATACAGATACACAAACTACACAGATACACACACTACACACATACACAAACACATAAATACACACACTACACACAGACACACACTATTTACACACAAACATACAAACAAGCACACATAGATACACACATTACAAACTTAAGCCACCCAGTTTCTTACCTTCTGCTGGCTGTGGCTAGTGGGAATTGCACTCCTGGTCCGGCCCTATCCTTGCGTCTCCCTCTTCCCGCATGGCGCCTCAGTGAGTGTGAGCTGGGAGGAATTGAGAGGCTGCCACTTCCTCCTAGCTTTCCCTGCGCATAGGAAGGGGCCCGCATCACACCACTGGGCTCCTCATTGCATATGTCCATCGGGTGGCCCTAAAAGCATCTGCACCGCTGCCAAGGATTGGAAAATCCTGTTTTAGATCATAACAGGGGCAGCAAAATGCTGCCCCTGTCAGAATGCCGCCAGGAGCCATGGCTCCACAGCAGTCTATGGACGGGCCGGCCCTGTTATAGTAGATGGAAATCCACATGTTCTTACCAATGACATGTTTGTATAATTTTATGACATGTAAATGGGTTCTAGAACTACTGCAATCCTGAAATGGAATACAGCCTGATCCAAATCAAGGACAGAGATCTCACCTCAAATATTTGGATAATATAAAGAGTTGTACTTTATTTAATCTGCCTTACATATCAAAACAATCATCAACAATGTAATATTGCATTTGAGGGACACAGAGAGTATAACACAACTGGTTTATGCCAGTAAGACATTTCCTCACCCAGGAAGTGCTTATTGGCATGAAATGCATTAGTGTTTGTCATTCTTTGCTCAAGTCAGTATGTATGTGAGTCAGATTAAATAAAGTAAAACTCTTGTTTATCCGCACAATTAAGTTTATATCGCTGTCCTTGATTTGGACCCAGGTGCATCATTTATGATAACAAAAGAAATCACAAAATGTTCTCCATCTCCTAACCCCAAAATTGTGTGTGTGCGTGTGTGTGTGTGCGCGAGCAGAATCAACTATGGAATCATTTACGAGAAAGTAAATTAAAGAATATTTCTGGAACAAATTGCATCAAGATCTAAACCAAACACCTGATGATATATTATCTTTAGACGCATTTGTGTGTGTTTATGATATTTTAACTGTTTAAAAGTGTGTGTATGTGTGTGACAAATCAAGTAAGAGGCCTCATTGAGTACCACTTACTAATAACAGGTTAGTAGCACTCAAATACACAGGCATATCTTTGGTTTTATTTAACTAAAGGAAAAATCGATAGTGGATATTTTATGTAACAAATTGTATCAGGATACCAAGAGCTCAGTCAGGAGGCTGATATTTTATGTATTTGTATAGTAAATTGATTTAACACAGAGACTGATAGATATGGCATAATTAATGATATACACATAATATCACAAATCAGCATCCTAGTAAAATTCTATGCAATATTCAATTGTACTGAGAGCTGGACATAAAAACAGTAGCCTGTATGGAGAATAAGTATTTTGTCAAGATGTGATTTAATTGCAAACTATTTATTTTAGCGCTGAAAGCCATAAACCGGTGAGCCACCAAGGGAATCTTTGAGGAAAAGTTCACTTTGGACTGCAAATGGTTAAAGCTCAGGACTTGATTTCACAATCTCTCCATAGTGATTATACAAACATTGGTATTTTTTCACTGCAGGTTGCTACTAAACCACATGATTTGATATCTGGCTCTGCATATTGTATCCTTTCATCCCTATAAAAACATTATTAAAATGACTTTCATTAAAGTGTAATGTATTCTGTATCAAATTTAGAGAGTTCGCTATTCAGTTTTGGTATCGATACAGATAGCAGAGTATGTGTAAAAGCAATGTAAAAGCTACGAGGTTGACAATTGCCAGTACACTCTATGCAAATGTTATCTGTCTGATGATTTTTTATGCTCTTTTATAAACACTCTGCATCCCAAACATGCCGACTAATTTTGACTTTTTAGAATAAAATCATTCAACTGTAAAACAAATAATTGTTGTCTCCTAAAGTAATAAAAATGCAAACATGTCAAGTTTTTCATTTAAATAAATTCCTGCAGAAACACTGAAGCCCTAAATTACACGAGCTACCCTGTCATGTTGTTTAGCTGGTTAATTTAAAATATCTCTAACAATTAGTCTTTTGTTTGACTTACATTATTGCAGTTATTTGCATTTGTATATTGCCAACATATTCTGCAGCACTTTACAATTATACATTGTGAATATAAAACAAGTATTGACATAAAAAGCAGTGTTCACGGAGACAAAAGGTGAAGAATGAGACACCCTGTATTGTTTTGCCATATTATCAGTACAGATTAATGTTCTATACTTACTAGCGGGAGTTTACAGTCAACAACCACGAGTAGATGTTCTGATTTAGAGTAATTGCAAAGCTGTAAAATATCTTCAATCAGGGCTTCCCAAAAGGTAGATCCCCAGATGTTTTAAAACAACAACTTCCATGATACTTTGTCATTCTAAAGGCATGCAAAGCATCTTGGGAGTTGTAGTTCTACAACATATAGGGATCTACCATTTGGGCACTCTTGTTTAAAATTAAAAATGTTTCCAGTCTGTTTTTTTCACCTAAAATGTACAATTTGCTTGTCAACATGCCTCGATTTTTAAACCTCACTGTGCTTGAATAGGGAACAAGTACATGTTATTCATAAGTGGCCAATGGACTTGTGTAGGAGGACTTCTATCTCTCTGATTGGGAATTTGTTGCAATAAAAGCTAAGCTAAAATAAAATGCAAGTATACAGAGCCCCATATCTTTCTATATTTCAGTTCTTCAAAACCATATCTAAATTAGACCTTACTTTATTTTTCAATTCCGTAATAAAAACTTGGCAGTAATCTTACTTCACTACTTGTACGTGGAAAAGAGACACATCTCATTTTACTTATTAACTCGAACAGTGACATTCAACCTTCTTTTCCAGATAGATATAGATATTGATATAACTTCAATATTTACCCATAGTGTTTAATGTCTGGATAATGAAATTAAAATAAATAGTAACTTGCATGAGTATTATTGAGGTTAGTGGTTCAGTTTCTTGCTATTTACATTATATAGATTTGGGGAGACAACACCAGCCGTCAGGAGTAGAAGGATGCAGAAGGAATAGGTAAAGGTAAATGCTGGGATTTGGAGGTTGGAGAGAAGTACAGTGGAAAAAAATGGGCATATATATGAGAAATGTACGTGTATATATAATTTTAGTGGTTGTTTTTTTTAACCTACAAAACTTTCTGCCTTGCAATAGACATCATCATCAACCAACACCGTTTTTATGAATAAAAATGTTTTTACTTATCACTTTTGGTCTGAATAAATGGTTCTGTGTTGTTTTTTTTTATGTGAATTAACAAGTTTGTATAATTTTATGTTTTCTTTCAGTTGTTCTAACCTACAATGTCCAGTAACAGCTGTAGATGTCACTAACAAGCACAGCAGATGTTTCTGGAAGCTGTGGTTCAGCTAACAGTTTTTATAAGTAATTGAACTACAAATCCCAGTAAACCCTGCTCTGATCAAAACTGATGCTATGCACAGGGAGCTCTGAAATATGCTAGTCCATCAAGACCTTCGGCAATATCACTAATATTTGTATGGTAAGGTATGTCTTTTTGCTGATGATGCAAAGATTTGAAACAGGGTTGATGTTCCAGGAGGGATAAGTCAAATGGCAAATGATTTAGGTAAACTAGAAAAATGGTCAGAATTGTGGCAACTGACCTTTAATGTGGATAAGTGCAAGATAATGCATCTTGGACGTAAAAACCCAAGGGCAGAGTACAGAATATTTGATAGAGTCCTAACCTCAACATCTGAGGAAAGGGATTTAGGAGTAATTATTTGGGACAATATAGTCTTTCAGCTTCCAACCAGCATATTGTTTTTTATTTGCTAAACACAAGATTGTAGTGAAATGAGAACTAATTTG